CTTTTATTCAGACGTTATTTGCTTATCTCAAAGTTCAGCTTTAAGAGTTGCAGCTCCGTGCTCTAAGTGTACGCTTTAAAAAAACAGCATGTATACAAGATGGTAATGAAATAATACATTTCTGGTTTCAACTCTTCACTCTCTTCCATTCACTTTATCTCCGTATAGCACTTAGCAAGGATTGTACTTAAATACTCTCAGGATGGATTATTACATGAAACTTTAGGCCTGCAACAGAGCCTAACCATGTTAAAATGAAGACTTCATGCACACTGGGCATTTAGCCGTGGTGTATGGGGATCTGGTGTTTAGCTGCAGGAGGAAAGCAAAGGTGCCCTTGTCCAGCCATGCTGCCAGTAGCCTGTCAAACCCTACGAAAGGCTGATAGTTGCTGGATGGTGCACTTAGGGGTACCTATGTTTAGGATAGTATGTGCACAGGGATGGAGGCCGAGAACACAGGCTTCTCGTGCTCCAGGCATTTACTAAACGTTACTATTACTTGGTGCACCATCCAGCCCCTGTCTGGCTGGGGCAGCTGTTAGACATTTAGTCCCACTGCAGGCAACCTGTCAAACTCTAGACTAATGTGCATGGGGCCTAAATCTACTTACAAACATTAGACAATGGCCAGCTGTGACAGAATCAGCCGCCACGGATCTTGCAAGTTTGCCTGTGATGAGGCTGAAGGGGATACCTGAGGTCTCAGGATAAACAAACCAGTAAAGTCTATCTCAACCATTCATTTTCTCCTGAGCAGACTCTGATTGGGACAGTTAGGATTAAACATACAAATATGGGCAGATGGATTAGGTAAACATTCTGTAGGTGCATACACTGGGGTAAAGTACAGTGTTCCTTCAATTATCTTTTAATATTCTTGTGTGTTAGTGACACTATTGATGCTGTAAAAAGTTTTAAAATAGAAGTAACAGTTTGGATTTTTTTTAATCCCCAATTATACTTACCGGTACCTAGGTGGATGCTGCACCTGTCCCCTGCCGGTTCTATGTGTGAGAACTTGGTGATCACATGACCACTGATCGCTTAGTTCTCACAGCCGCTCTAAGCAGAGAGCGGTGACTGTCGGTCACCGCTCTTTGCTTGCCCCCCTCCACAGCCCAGTGGCTGGCTCAGGCTCTCAGTGGCTCGCTGAGAGGCTGAGACAGGTGCCACTTCAGACTCTGGGGTGGATCCCAACTTTAAAGTCGGGATCTTTTCCTAGCCTGGTTCAGCTGAGTGACGGCAGCTACAGCCCGCTGTCAGCTGAAAACGGGTCACAGGAGTGCAAAACAATCTGCACTCCTAATCCACAGGAAAAGAGCTTTGTCTGTACTTCTCCTTTTAAGTGAAAATACTACATGTTAGGCCCCATTTACACCTGAGTGATTTGAAGCTTTACCAAAAGTGCTTCAAGACTAGCATTTCTATTGATACCCATTGACACCAGAGTGCAGCGTCGCTGGAAAAAGTTCATGGGCTACATTTGGGGCAGAGTTGCACATTACACGAGTCACATGGGGAAGGGAAGGGGGGGGGGTCTACACTCATTCTTGTGTGGTAAGCAGGAGGGTCTATTTTCCTGCTTCCTGACTGGTAAGTAGGAGAGTTTACCTATCTTCCTTTTGTGTAGTAAGTGGGGGGGGTCTACACTCCTTCTTCCTGACTAGTAAGGGAGAGGGTCTACGATCCTTAGTAGGAGGGTCTCTTCTTGCTTTCTGTGTGATAGGTGGGAGAGCCTCCCTTCCTTCTTCCTGTGTGGTAAGTGGGAGGGTCTACTTTCCTTCTATCTATGTGGTAGGTGGAAGGGTCTACACTCCTTCCTGACTAGTAATGGAGAGTCTCTATAATCCTTAGTAGGAGAGTCTATCTTCCATCTTTCTGTGTGATAAGTGGGATGGCCTCCCTTCCTTATTCCTGTGTGGTAGGTGGGAGGGTCTACACTCCTTTTTACTAATTGGCAAGTGGGAGGGCCTCCCTTCCTTATTCCTGTGTGGTAGGGTCTACACTCCTTTCTTACTAATTGGCAAGTGGGAGGGCCTCCCTTCCTTATTCCTGTGTGGTAGGTGGTAGGGTCTACACTCCTTCTTACTAATTGGCAAGTGGGAGGGCCTCCCTTCCTTATTCCTGTGTGGTAGGTGGTAGGGTCTACACTCCTTCTTACTAATTGGCAAGTGGGAGGGCCTCCCTTCCTTATTCCTGTGTGGGAGGGTCTACACTCCTTCTTACTAATTGGCAAGTGGGAGGGTGTAACTTCCTTTTTCCTGTGTGGTAAGTTGGAAGGTCTATAGTCCATCTTCTTGATTGGCAGGTGTGAAGGTCTACCTTTCTTCTTCCTTTATGGTAAGTGGGAGGGTCTACAATCCTTCTTCCTGACTAGTAAGGGAGAGGGTCTACAATCCTAAGTAGGGGGGGTCTATATTCTTGCTTTCTGTGTAATAATTGGGAGGGTCTCCCTTCCTTTTTCCTGTGTGGTAAGTGGGAGGGTCTATTTTCCTTCTGTTTGTGTGGTAAGTGGGAGGATCTATACGCCTTCTTACAAATTGGCAAGTGGGAGGGTTTACGTTCCTTCCATCTGTATGGTATGTGGGAGGGTCTACACTTCTTACAAATTGGCAAGTGGGAGAGTTTGTTTCTTTTTCCTGTGTGGTAAGTTGGAGGGTCTACAGTTCATCTTCCTTATTGGTAATTGGGAAAGTCTACCTTTAAATCCTTCCTTTATGGTAAGTGGGAAGGTCTACAATTCTACTTCCTGACTAGTAAGGGAGAATGTCTACAATCCTTTGTAGGAGGGTCTATCTTCTTTCTATCTGTGTGATAAGTGGGAGGGTCTCCCTTCCCTCTTCTTGTGTGATAAGAGGGAGGGTCTACAATCCTTCCTGATTGGTAGCGGGAAGGTCTATCATCCTTCTTTCTGTGTGAGAGGGTCTGCTCTCCTGATTTGGTAAGTGGGAGGGTCTGAACTCTTTCCTGATTGGTAAATGGGAGGGACTACCTGCCTCCTTCCTGTGTGGTAAGCAGGGGGGTCTACCTTCCTTCTATCTGTGTGATAGGTGGGAAAGTCTACAGTCCTTCTTTCTGATTGGTTAGTGGGAGTGTCTACTTTCTTTCTTCCTATGTGGTAAGTGGAAGGGTCTACTTTCTTTCTTTCTATTTGTAAAGTGGGAGGGTCTACTTTCTTTCTTCCTATGTTTGAAGTGGGGGGTCTACTTTCTATGGTCAGCTGATAAATTCTCATGTTGTAATAATTGACCATCTGCTAGGAAAAGCAGTGACCTAATATGTATGGAAGTCAAGGCTTACATCACCATTCTTAAAACCTTTATATCTGTATTGTCTCCAAAGCATCTGGTGCACTTAGCAGTCAGACTAGAATGTAAAGGGTTACCTCCTGTCCAAGGGATGACATTTCCACATAATGTATGATTTTTCCGGTTTCTTAAAAGCTGTTTAGTGCGAGTCCGGCATCAATATTATATGAGCTTTCCTTTATCATTCATCATTTTATGGTGCATTAAGCTGCTTTCCATGTAGCTGTGTGATCTTCTTTGCTCATTGACGCCTGTTGTGGCGGTTCAGCCCAAAGTACCATGCATGTTTCTCTAGTATTGTTTCCCTGGAAATGGCTAATGTGCACAATAATTGTTGGAAATTACAGAGAGGAATTTAAATGCAAGCTTAGTTTTCTGATAAATTAGGTGTGGTGAGACGGGACAGTGAAATCATCAGCTTTGTATAGGGGCCATTGTCTGATTTGTTCCCTTATTACTGTGTAGGTCTCCTCTTCAATATTCAGTGGAGGATAGAGTCACTCATGATTTTTCTATTCCATTCCTGTAATTTGTTGTTTAATTGTGAAAAATTAAAGCTGAAAGTATTTGTATTTTTGTCCATCCAGTCCTGAGATTTACACAGATCTGCCACTCAGCTGAGCCAGGGGAATGGCACCACTGTCTCTTTTTGACCATTTTCATATGGGCATAGTTGCTGATTTGCAATTTGTGGTGGGATGCTTTGTCAGCAGCAGCTTGCCCCGCAGGTTAGCAGGTGATCAGGGAGCTATATGCCACCTCTCACACTGCTGTTTGCACACTGAAATCTCTCCTCACCACAGCCAAACTGTGTCCACTGGATGCAGTTGGGGTGCAGCTCCATTACTACTATGGGGTACATTGGTAGGCAGAATCGCTTGCCTATTGCCATATCCTCTACATTTTTTGCCACGTCATGAAGCAAAATGTTGCAGCTGCGACATTGTAGATGGCCCATCCAAGGGCCATTGCCAGGTCATGACAGGCAGTTCAATTACATTAAAAACACAACACTGGATTTACCGTACCAATATGCCCTTGTGAAAGGGGCCTTACTATTAAAGACTGTTGAAGGAATACAGCAGTGCCCTCTCTCCACCCCTATCCCTGCTGACTAGATAGTGAAAGAGCAGCTAGAGATTGCTGAGGTCACCTCTCTGCTCTCCTCTAAATAGCATGCTACTTGTCAGTACGTTTGCATGCAGTACTCCTGACTGGCTGTCAGTCCTGACCTTCCCTGTCATACTCTGAGTGCTACTGTATATGGGATTGCAAGATAAGTTTGTGGCACTTAAAATATTTGCCCAAAATATATGGAATGACTTATTAATTTATTTGTTGTCTCATATGCTGAGAATACATGATTGTGATGGTTACTGTAATCCTTGGGCATAACTGTGAAAAGTATATTTTGCATAGGAAATGGAATCATTCTGCCCTTTGTGTCCAGCTGGATATGCTTAAAAATTAATTTACAGTTGTTGGCGGAGCAGCATACTGGCTCTCTTTGAATATTCCATAGACAACTTTAGATTATTCTTTTATAAATTACTCCCAGCGATAAGATTGTTTCGATCTGTGGTTAAACCATCAGATCTGCAGGGTGTGGTGGGCTTGAACTTTATTACATTTGTTCCAATGACGATAAAGAAAACATTAACAAATTCTTCTTTCCTTTTCTTTTCTATAGCAAACTACGGAGATTCCACAGTCATCCTGACCACCATGACCAGTTGTTTTCAGTGGACGTTTCTCTCTGTACGAGATGTCGTCATACAACAAGCTTGAACAACATGTTCCATTTTGCTACAGTGTTAACTGCTTCAGATGCTTGTCTATATGGTGGTATTTCTAGGAGACAGGTTCTCTTGCTGTTTGGATCTGATACTACTGCATCTCTGCACTACAAATATTCTGTCCTGCCTTGCAAGAAAACAGCATCCATTAATATTGAGGACAATTCATCTTGAAAAAAACAGCTCTGTTTTGGGGAACAGATGTACTTCTTTAAAAGAGGTAGTTCATCCAAAATGAATATTTCAGTTTTTGCTGGATGCTGGCACATCAAATCACCCATTGGCTATATATATCCTTGGACATTGGTAACAAGAACTGTGCCCAGTTCTGGCTTACGTCCCTTGTATTCCAAGTAGGTGTCTTTGTCGCTACTAAAATGTTCATTTATTTATTTCACTTTAAGTGATAATTTCTTGATGAAGCTTGAGTACTGAGACTATATGGACACAAACTGGAAACCGCGCAAAAAAAGGAGGCATTTAAAAGTGGTCATGCACTGGTGCAACACATTACAGTGTACCTTTGTAGGAGTCTCTGTGCCTCCTCCTATATGGAGTGTTGGTTGTGGTGAGACAGATACAGGGGGGGGGGGGGGGGGGGGGGTGTTTTTACTAAAACTGTATGATGCAAAATCTGGTGTATCAACCAATCATCTTTCAGGTTCTATTGTCAAGGTTTAATTGAGCAAGCTGAAGTTAGAAGCTAATTGTCTACCATGCACAGCTGCACCAGATTCTGTAAGGGCTCTTTTAGGCTTGGCTCATATATGTGCGGGTGGTGTGGCTGTGGATCCGCTTGAAATTCCGTGCAGCCGCACTACCCACACAGAGGAATGCGGACCCGCGGGCGGTTGCCATTATTTCTAATGGCACGCCTCCCGCACTGGAAAACGCAACCGTATTTGGAACCAAGGTTCCTGTGCGGGCTGAATTTTCAGAAGTGCAGGGACTTTTTCCCTGTGTGTCATGGGGCACGGGAGTCCATTCAAATGAATGGGCTGTTGTGCCTGTGCAAAACACGACCCGCACGGCTGCATATATGTGAACCAGGGGTCAGACGAACGTTCCAATTGGGTCCACTTACCCTTTTTTGAGGCGGACCTGATCAGAATCTCCATTCTCTATGGAGCGGCAGGTGTGTCCGTTTACACCCGCAGACATCCGATCTGCCTAAAAGGGACGAATGGGGATCCAATTCCCCTTCCGTCCATCGGATTGGATCAGATGAAAATGGACAGGCGGTCCGTTTTCATCTGACCTCCCATTGAGGAGAGCGAGCAGCTCTGTGTCTGCCGTGCAGCAGCCGAGGGAACACAGCTGTCATCCACTTGCTCAGCAGGGATCAGCAGAGAGATCCCCCGCTGAGCAAGAGGATTCGCTAAACAGGTCCATCCCATGTGAAAGAGCCCTTTAGTAAATCTCCTCAAGTGAGTACATCAGAGACCAAACATGTGTAATAATAAAATAATTAGAGTCATTCATCCTGTGAAACTGTATGTACTGTACATTTGCAAATTAGGCCAAAATGGAATGCTGTTTTCTCTCCAGATGGAGTGGCTCGGGAAAATACTGCATAATGCTCATGACGGAGCTCATGATCATAGGAAAAAAAATACTTAATTCCTATAATCATTATCTCAATTAACTGGCTATAATGCAATATTTTACTAATTCACTCTATACTATAGAAATTACTAACATTCAACCTGAAAAAAAATTTGCCTTATAACATACAGGAGTTGATTTTCTAAAACTGGAGTGCAAAATCTGGTGCAGCTGTGCATGGTAGCTGATCAGCATCTAACTTCAGCTTGTTCAGTTAGCCCTGGTTCAAATATGTGCGTTCCTGCGGTCTGCATTTTGCATGGGCACGAGAGCCCATTCATTTGGACTCCCATGCCCCGTGACACGCAGGGAAGAAGTCCCTGCATTTCTTCTGTAAACTCAGCCCGCACGGGGACCTCGGTTCCCAGTACGGTTATGATTTCCAGTGCGGGCGGCGTGCCATTAGAATTAATGGTACCCGCATGCGGGTCCGCATTCTTCTGTGCAGGTGGATTTTGGTGCGGATCCGCAGCGGCACCACCCGCACATATGTGAACCTAGCCTTAAGGTTTGACAAAAAAAAAACAAAAATGGAAGCTGATTGGTTTCTATGCAGAGCTGCACCAGATTTTGCACTCTCCAGTTTCAGTAAACCAACCTCTTAATTCTCAAAGAAGGAATGTACAAGCATGTTCACAGAACGGATAACTCTGCAAAGGTTTTTCTAATATATTTCCTCATTAGTGTCAAATCATAAAGGATCAGGGTTAGAGGCACAAGCTGTCCTGTTACCAGCAGGTCTAAAGAGATATCAACAGGGGGATTTAGCAGACTGACATCCGCTTTCACTGAAAAATTAGTTTGAGGTGAGCTTTTAACTCTGTCACATGCAGCACTATCTGATTGTACAATCTCCTCTATATTTAAGAATCTTTATAGTGCAAGGGACTGTCCTGGCTGGGTATAAATTACCCATCACTACATTGCTGTAGGAAAATCTATTGCTAGCCTTAAAAGGATCGATCTGATGATTTTATAAAATAATTGTATTGCCATTCTGATTGAAACAATCTTTTTTTAATTAGCGTTTCCTTGGCTGTCCACCAATTTTGCAGTATCAAAGGTGAAGGCAATCAGACAGGCTGAATAATTCCAACTCGTGGTGTATGGAGCGATGAATGGATTCAGAAATTTCCCCTTTGATTTTCAATAACTTTTTCTAACAATGTTTTGAATTGTGTTTACTATTTTTGTTGAATTATATTATTGCTTTAAAACCAAGTCAATTAAAACGATCAGATCGAATGGTGAATTGCAAAAAAATAACCCATGATTGGCCAGCATGAAGGTGATTGTACAATCAGATCATATTGTAATATGGGTTGATACCTTTAAACCTATGCCTGAGAAACTCATAGACAGTATTCAAAATTTGTAATCTATGTGCATCTTATATAGACGGGGCAGTATGTAAAATGTGGACATTTTGCACACAGCACTCAGTTTATTATTTTTTTCCCATCTAAATATTTAAACTCTGAACCCACGGCTATTATGAATCTTTTAAGACACAAGCCATGAAGTTCTGTTTACAGAGAGCAGTACAATGGAATCAATTTAGCTTTTATTTTTATTGTCTGCTAAAAACTGACAGCTGGACATGATGCTATGGGCAACAAGGATTTTTTTTTCTCATTTCACTCAAAGCTTTAACGTGAACTCATGCTTTGTCTAAGCATCACAAAGTGACAAGTTCACTTATTTTCCCTCCCCTTCCCACTTTCACTTTGCACTCCCCCTCCATTCTGTCCAACTACTTGAAGAAAGTAGAAAAAAGCTACTAGTTGGTATGATTGGAGCTTATACACACCAAAGGACTTTGCCCTCATCCCATGTGATCATCATCTGGCCTTCTTAGCTTCATACACACAGGGCGATTTTGCAGCCACTTTTAGGGATGTCAGGCATTTTTTTTTTTTTACTGCTTCTAAACGGCCCTCTATGTTATCCTATGTGTCCCCGCACACATAGACTTTTAGAAGCTTTTAATAGCAGTAGCATTTTCCAGCAGGAAAAAAAAAACCCAGGGCCAGAGCAGTAGCGTTATGGCAGAAAAAAACTCTTGGCACGGTTAAACGAGCCTAAACATGTCTAAACGCTCGTCGTGTTTTGCGCTTGAGTGTTAATTCATTTCAGTGGCTAGAATAAATTCTTACTCTGGCCAAGGAAATGTTTGATGCTTGTAAATGCGCCTAAATGCTTGTAAAAGCGTTAGATACTTTTACAAGCATCAGGTGTTTTTCTGCAAAAACACAGCTTATGGGAGATTTTTTTTTTAACGTCCTGTGTGCAGGAGGACTTATAGGCCGCTCAGGCACTCGGTGCTGCATTGTTGGCAGAAAGAGAGAGACACATGCTCTCCCATACATGGGAGTAATTCACTTTGCTCACCAAGAGGGTGTACAGAGCAGCAGGGGATAGACTGAAAGTTGCAGTACATGGCCAAAGTAAAGGACTGATTTTGTTATATCTGTGCGAGTTCACATACAAGCATAGACATTTTCCGATGTAAACTGCCACCAGAGACACAATCTGCTGGCTGATCAGCCCTCGTTTTTATTTTGTGCGTATCTTTCGTAGCTATTTAAAGCTGAACTCTAGGCAGATATAAAATGCACACATGATTGCAAATTTGTATTAATCAACATATCATTAAATGTACAGTGGGGAAAATAATTATTTGATCCCCTGCAGATTTTGTAAGTTTTCCCACTTACAAAGAAATGAAGGGTCTAAAATTTTTATAGGTGTATTTTAAATGATAGAGACAGAATGTCAACCAATAATCCTGAAAAACACATGATACAAATGTTATAAATTGAGTTGCAGTTCAGTGAGTAAAATAAGTATTTGATCCTCTACCAACCAATAATAGTTCTGGCTTCCACAGACTGGCTATGTGCTCATGTGGTACAAAGAGTAGTCCTGACAATTTAAGAAGGTGTTCCTAACAACAACTTATTGTGTGTATAAAAGACATCTGTCCACAGAATCTCTTTCTTCCATTCAAACCTCCCCACTATGGGCAAGACCAAAGAGCTGTCCAAGGACGTCAGGGACAAAATTATGGACCTGCACAAGGCTGGAATGGTCTACAAGACCATCAGCAAGAAGCTTGGTGAGAACACAACTGTTGGAGCGATTATTTACAAATGGAAGAAATACAAAATAACCATCAATTGCCCTCAGTCTGGAGCTCCATGCAAGATTTCACCTCATGGGGTAAGGATGATCATGAGAAAAGTGTGGAATCAACCCAGAACTACACAGGAGAAGCTTGTGAATGATCTCAAAGCAGTTGGGACCACAGTCACCAAAC